GGAGGAGAAGGGATTGCAGCGTGACCATCTCCCCTGGGGGGTGATTTCTCGCTTTCTGTCTCACTGTCTCTCTCTGTTGTCTCTCTGTCTGTCTGGCTAGCGCTTGCGCACTATAGTAAAAAAAAAAGTAGAAAGTAGTTAGTCCCTCTGGTCTGGGGGGAAGGTTCAGTGTGTGTGTGTGTGTGTGTGTGTGTGTGTGTGTGTGTGTTTATCTGTATATCTACAGATATAAGAGTTGTTGAGCACTAGAAAGTTTCATTTAATTCTGAGTTGTCTGATTGATAGTTCATAGTGTGTCCAGCCACGGTGACAGTCGATTCACTTAAGAAGCTAACCATTGCAACCGTCATTCTGCACTCAGCCCCAAGCTCTCAGTACATACCCTGAGTGATGGGCCGATCGCAGGTCGTCCTGTCTGCTCATTAAAGCAGAACTGCTGGCCGGCTAATTTAACAACCCGGCTTCCATAACCAAATACCCTCAAGATTCAGAATTTCACCACTTCTCATTTCTATTTCTTTTCATTACCAGGTTTTACAGTCCACTAATGAAAATAAAAGGCTGGTTTCTGGAGCCTGCGTGCCTAGTAATTTTTTTGCAGACCTCAGAATCAAGGCTGCAAGTGTACACGTTATTGTAGCAGAATGAAAAATTACTAAAGTTTCAGAAACTCCCCCAACTGAATAGATATTAGGTATCTTCCTTCAAAAATAAAAAAAAGAAGAAAACCTCACAGGTTTCTTATTTTGGAGCCCAATAATTGCATATTTCAATAGGTTATTAGAGTCTTTGAATAGTCTCATTATTCACTAAAGAAAACCAAATTGGAATAGTTTCTTTTTCAAACAAATTGGATGTTAGATCTTTTTCCTTGCTATGAGAACCTTAGTCTGTAGTCCTCAGTTTCATCATCTGTTGAAAAAAAAAAGTTTTTAATTCATAGGATTATTATCAGACTAAATAAGATAATTCATGTAAAGTACTTAACACAGTGCATGGCACATATGAGGCGGTCTTCACAAAGTTCATAGAAAATGTATTACAAGAAAATTATGGATTTCTCTCTTTTTTTTGCACCAAGGTAAACTGCATAAATTCCATTTCCCAGAAACTTCTTGAAGTCCTCTTGTAAGTACTGCATAAGTACTCACTATTACCAGGAATGTAGAGCACAGTATTACCCCAAAACAAGGTTGGATATGATCTAAATCTCCAACAATAGGGTAATGGTTGAGCAAATCATTCAACGAAATGTTAGAATAAAAACCTTGGTAGTGCTAGCGGGTGGAGTGGTGGTTTAAGTGCTGGATGCCATATGGCTGACTCCGGTTGGTGTTCCAGACCCAGTGGCTTGAAAATCATGCT